ACAACAGAAATTTAAAAAGCAAAAAACTGCAAAGGATTCATTATAAATAACTTTATTTTTCAATAGAGATCTGAACATAATCATGGACATAAACGCCTTTATTCTGAAAGAGTTCAGTGGCTTGAATTAACACATTTAATGTGCGGCTCCTGACCAATTCCTAAACCCTTTTCAACAAAAGAAACTTGCTTCCAAACCTACAGTTTGGCTTGCAACATTCTTCCTTCCACACATCCCTTTCCTTACCCATAGCTCCAATATCAGCTAGTTATAGTTCTCCAAGAGGCAGGATGAGTTTGGGACAGAGAGAAGAGACAATACACAATTATGAACAACCTGAGCTGGTCACAGGCTGTCACGCTCCTGTCTCTTATTCTGTCACAGGCATGTGCAGTGGCCTATACCAAAATATGCTACACCTCTGTGCTTCAGCTTCCCAACTGCAACCAGGGTATAGGTATGTAGGTATCATGCCTATCCTTCTGGAATCAAGGAGTCTACGGACTATCTTTTACTATATGCACATGCAGGGTACTCTGTCCCCTGTGTGCTATTGCAGCACAGCTTAGGAAAATGTCAATCCCATTAGTCTAGAGGAGAAAAGTGTCTCCAGCAGGTCTCTGGTTGCACTCCCTCAGCGCTACCATAAATGGGAGCTCACCTGATGTCTGGGACAATTCAGCTGTTGCCACAAATCCCCAAGCAGAAACTATTAATCGTTCACATCACAGTGCTAAAAAAAGAGGGGCTGTAAAAAAAGAATAAGCTGTACACATCACTACAGAAAGGCTTAAAAGAGAGGACATTTCTATAGTTCAAGGACATAGAAGAGATATCAGAATTGTTAGTATTTATTTGCATTAAGTGCCTGCAAAAGTCATCAATCAGAGTTGAGATTTCCTAGCAATTTTGGGAAATCCTGCTAAGTCAATATGCTATTGGTGCCCCTCTGAAAGCCAGAGCAGCCCACCCAAAGGGACTCAGGGGGATCCCTGGTACATGTGCTAAAGCTATTTGAAACTGTAAAGCATCAGCTGAGGTGAGCTTTGCACAGATAGAAATGTGAGATTCAATAGAAGAGTCACTGCCTGAAATCCTGAGACATGTACCGTAGAACAGAGCAGAGCACAAAACGTCCATCTTCTGTGGACGTCTGAATCACAGCCTCCGGCCATTGCAACAACACTTTTCTGGGTGAGAAGGAGAATAATCCTTAAAATTTCCAGCTACCCTGTTTGAACAAGTGGCTTCTAATTGTAACCGTATTACCCACACAAGAAATCCAAAGACTTTACCAAAAGTGATCACAACATGAACACGCAGTGTTTGCTCTTAATGACACATAGAACAACCTTGGAAACTCAGGAAAACGGCCACGCTGACACTCAGACGTGGGTATTGCCTTTAGACCAGGAAACTGGCAACATTGATAAGAAAGGCTTTCACACGTTATTGTTATACCTAAAGCCCTGTGCTATTTCTAAATTCTTCTATGCAGGTCTTTTTTGACCTTCCCATCCTGAAGAGACCTAAAATTACTGACTTAATATGCAACTATTTACTAAAAGGTAGTTCCTCATTCTATTATTTCTTTTAATCAAACTGCACCTTGAGGTCTGGTGTCATTTTTTAATTAACACCTAAGGATTTTATCCAGTGAAAAATCAACATGCCCAGAACAAGGCTTATGTAAAATCAAGGTGCTTATGTTCAAAACATGAACAATAAGCCCTTTGCTTGCTCCCCTCTGCACCCCACCCCAAATTAAGAGGTATTTTCCTGTTTCAACTGCAAGCATCCCGCATGTCCACAGTCCCACACCACCACACATCCACAGCCACCTATCCAATGCCCAGCAGCAGCAGGACAGGGAAAGGCAGAGGAAGGTTACTTATGAGAAGGAACAAGGCTCAGGAAATGTCATTGCATCTGCTTTGTCTTACTTCTATTAGGAGCTTGACCAGCTCCCTTTACCCATCGCAGGGACAACACACCACCAGGGAGAGAAAAACACAGTGAATGTCAATCACAGACCAGCATGCTCTTCATTCCATCACACCTGCACATCCAGGGGCTCCTGCCTGCTGGCACAGATCCTGACCGAGACACCAGCATAAAGCCAAATCAGTTTGGACATGAGATTTCCTAGAGGTGGACTTCTTCAGAGATCACCTTCTGAGGAAACAACCGTGAAGCATGAGCATGCACGAAGGGGCCAAGCTTTGTTCCCTGTGATCCCACCAACTCCTCTGACAGAAGGACAAAGCACTGGGAGTCTTTTAAGTTACTTCTGGTGAAAGCAGCTGCTAGGCTGCTTTAATCTGTGTAAGAGATTTGTCCACTTTTCATTAAGGTCCTGTATGGAGGTGGATAGGTAAAGGTGAATTAAAAATAAAATACACCTTTAGACCTTAAAGGAGATGTTTGTGATGATGATGATGATGGCTTGACTTCGTGAACAAAGATTTGGGAAGGGCTTTACCCACACTTACTTCAAATGCACTGATGACTAAAAAGGCCAATGTGGGATTGGCAAATCCGGCTGCAAAAAGCAGAGGCAGCGCTGATGGAAGCATTCAAGGAGTCACAGGTGATGGCAGTAGATAACCCATGATTCAGACCCATATAAAAGAGTAGACATGCAGGGTTGGGTCTGCGACTTCCAGTGCACCTTATCACCTGCCGCTTTGTCCCTCACCTGTCGCTACAGGGCTTTGCAAGTGTGGGTAAACCCTTCGGGCCTGCACAGTGGATTTTTTAGGTGAGGCACAGCGTGCGCAGAACTGGTCCCACCCTTTACACCTGAGGTTTATCTGCCAGGGCCTAGCGAGCTATGTAACTATGTTTATAGAATAATACTATGAATATACTATGTTACAGATAAAACACTTCTACGTGTTACACGTCTGTGTGTCTGGTGATGCTCTTGTGAGTTTCAGTGAGAAGCATGCCAGTCTGATTAGCCAATTCTCAGCCTTTCCAATTAGTGGGGTTTAAAATAAAAGAAGTTTTAAGAAGGCATCTACTTTCATTTTCTGCTACTGTTAGATCACAACCTAAAATTAATCAAGGATACTTTTAACGCAGAAACGCTGTGAGTAAAAGTAATCAGTGGCAAGCCTATAGCAGGTTAACTGCAAAGGTAAGTGGATAAACATGTTTGTAATTCTGAAAAGGCAAGAACAATACTAGTGACAATCCATGAGGATAGTTATTTTTTTGTTGCATCCTGTAAAAATCTCCAGTTTTAACGTATCACTTTGTTTCTGGGGAAATTTATACACTTATGAGTATTACAAAGCTATACACACTGCATGTGTTGTGTTTAGCTTCATAAAACACATGGAGGAGAACTGTAGATATCTATACAAGGTGCTTTATGTTCTCTGTTTCTTTCCTGCTGAATTCAGTGCCACTGGGCAGATTTTGTCTCCCATCTCTGCTGCTGAAACAGAGCTTTCATAAAGCATTTTGGCCAAGGTGACAATGGTTTTCTTCTGAAATACGCACATCTCCAGAGTCATCCCAGGGCTGAGCCCCTGACATCCCAGACAAGGCTTCAGCAAGAAGCCCCTGCTAGAAAATGACAGTGCTGCAGACACGAAGGACCACAGGTAGGAAGGATCACAAATCCTGCGAGGAGCAGGGAGTTGGATTCCAAGATCCTCATGGGTCCCTTGCAAGTTGAGATACTCTGTGATTATGTGAAGGAGCACCTCTGCAGTCTCTAGGAGCCACATAACTATACACCATGCTGGAAACAAGGACTGTTTTCTTTTCTAATACAGCCTCTGCCTGCCAAAAGCACAACTCTACATGCAAGGCTGCAGCTACCCTAAGAACCCTACCAAGATGATGGCATAGTGCTGTCACCTGAACCATCACACAAGCCTGTTACAGTTGGATTCCCGATAACGTGCATGGAGCTGTTCAGGAATATTGGAAAATCTGGGCATTGGAAAAGAGAAAAACTGATCACAGAGAGAAAACCTCTGTCATGGGTGGAGCACAGTGCCCTCACTCACTTATGTGCCAGAGAAAAATAAACTTCAGGTACCATTTCACGTGTGCTGCCCGTGGTTCAGCTCCCAGATCAGTAGGTGCCAAGTGAAGTGTATCAGTCTTTACTTGAGACAGTATCACTGAATGTTAACAGCAGCATGTTTTATTCTATCATTTTCTACTTGAGCACATCAAGAAAACTTGCTGAGCTCTTTTTTCTCTAACGAAAGCAAATACACATGCCTGGTGCAAAACACCGTGTTTACATTAAATCAATACAAAGAAATGTCAATTCTAAGCAGTGTTTAATTATCATACTGAGTGCAAGTATGCACCTATGGCTGCACACATGAACGACACAAGTGCAAGCTGTAAACACTGTGGATGTGAAATTCCATGAGAAAGATCTAAACTTCTCTGTCTGTTTTCACACCCGCCAGCTGCAGTCACTGTCCTCTGAGTTACATTTTCCTGCTCAACTGAGTGAAATCTCTGGGTAACACCATGCAGAGTTTCATTTAATGTCTACATTCATTAAATTCATTAGTAAAAAGAGAAGCTGTGGCTGCCCCATCCCTGGCAGTGTTCAAGGCCAGGTTGGAAGGGGCTTTGAGCAACTTGGTCTAGTGGAAGGTGTTCCTGCCCATGGCAGGGGGGCTGGAACTGGATGGGCTTTAAGGTCCCTTCCAGCCAAAACTGTTCTATGCTTGTATGAAACTACTGAGGGCAAGCTGTCAACTCTATAACCACAAGAGCTCTGTGTGAAGCCTGGCGACCACTGCAGCGCCCCCAGCTCGCTGCGTTGCCTCCGCCGCGCTTCTCCCTTATCTCCAGCCTCCAGCGACGGGGGAAAATCCGAAATACAGAAATACCCGTTTTCAAGGACAAAAAGAGGAGCCGGGGGATGGAGGAGGATCCCCGCCAGCCTGACGCTGCTTCAGGTCCCGCTCCTCCTCTCCCGGACACGCGTGTGCGTAGTGGCGGGGCTCGGGGGCGTCTCAGCGAGGCACCCAGCGGAAGCGGTACCCGCCGGCGGCCGTGCGGAAGGTGAAGGCGCTGCCCTGCGGGAAGGCCAGGGTGCGGATGCCGCCCGCCTCGCCCAGCGCCGTCCGCAGGCTGCCACCGCCCTGCAGCTCCCCGCCGCCCTCCAGCTCCCCGCAGTCCGGACGCGGTGCGGCGTGGGAGGTGCGCAGACCGCGGAAGGAGCCGTGCAGGCGGGGAGCCGGCCGCGGGCGCTTGGCCGTGGGGCTGCCCCCCGGGCTGCTCCCCGGGCTGCCCCCGAGGGTCCGCAGAGCGGCGCGGCACTTCTCCGACACGGCCCGCAGCATGGCGTCCACCGCAGCAGCCTCCTCCCGCGGCCCCGCCCGTCCGGCACCCACACGGGACGCGGCGACGGGAGGAGGCGGAGGGTGAAGAGGAGGAGGTGGAAGAAGGGCCGCCCCGTCGGTGCACTGTGGAAGCATCAGCGTCTGCCGGGGGAGAGAGCGCGACTTCCGCGGGCTGCACCTCACCGCAGCCCTGCACCGGCCCGCACTGCCCTGTCCCGAGCCGCACTACGCTGTCCACCACTGCTCCTTCCCACGTCTCACTGCCCCGCCCCACACAGCCCCATCACGCACCGCCCCATCCTGCACCACCCCGCTCCGAGCTGTACCACACTGTCCTTCGCTGCCCTGCTCCATCCCGCGCTTCACCCTCACCACACAGGTCCACATTGCCCTGCTTCACACCATCCCACCCCACCACACAGACCCCCACTGCAACACCCCATCCCACAATCCCGCCACCGTGGCCCTGTCCCACCCTTTGCCACTCAGCCTGAACCTGAACCCTGTCCCCACCGCAGCATCCCCAGGGTCCAGCTGTGGGCTGGGCAGCTAGGTCAGATGTTGTGCAGGCAGCACTTACATCGAGGACGGCAGCCAGCTGCCTGGCCTGGCTTGCCAACTCCTTCAGCTGCACGTTGCTCTCCTGCAGCGTCACCAGCTCTTCCTGCCTCTGCGTGAGGGTCTCCTGCAGCTGCGAAGGGCAGGTGAAGACAGGGTGGTTGGGACAGCCGCGCCACCCAGAGGCCAGGGCTCTGCAGCACCTCAGTAGGATGAGAGAAGCAGCCCAGCGCAGGACCGTGAGGGTCCCTACCTGGATGTTAGCCTCAAGGGCATCTCCCAGTGCTTTCTGGTTCTGGTCTGCCAGGTCCCTCCAGCATGGCTCCGGGGAAGGTGGATGTTGCAGGGGCATCTGTGCCGGCGGCATCTGTGGCAGCATGCTGCACTCCAGCTGCGGGGTGCAGCAGTCAAAGGCCACCTCCTCGCCAAGTGAGAAATCAAAGTCGGCGCAGTCCAGCGATGGTGGCATTAAGGTGGATGCGTCTGAAGGGAACAGCCACAGGTGTTAAGACAGGTATTCACATCTTCTTCCCCTTGACCGCAGTACACACATTCTGGTATGTCCCAACAAGATTTTTCTCTGCTGTGGCAGCTGTGCACCTAAATTCAATCTCTTAATTTGGCTTTAAATTTTTTCCCCCATGTGGGAAAGCTCAGTGCCAGCCCAGGTTCCCTTAACGGGGTGTACAGAGGCATGCTGCCTTAGAGTGCCACGGGGTGGGAATCCTGAGTGAGTGGGAACCCAAAACCCAAAATAAAAGCAAACAAAAGAGACAGAACACAGTGTGGCTGTTGATGTGCACATGCAGGTGCGTTTGGCTCAGCTAAGGAAAAATATCTACTTGCCAGATATAAAATCATCCATAGCATCTCTGAACTCCTGGAAATCAAATTCTGGTCCATCCTGGAAGTAGGGACCCTGCAAGGGGTGAAGTTAACATGCCAGTGAGCAGGTCCCAGGGCTCATACCTTACTGCGCTGCCCACTGCTGCCCATAGCACTCAGACACAGGCTGGTGCCTATGCTCAGCACCTTCCCACAGCCCCAGCACCCCTGGGTGTTTGTCTCCTGCCCTTCCACATCTAACGAAGGGGTCAAGACGCTGTCCCCCACTGTGCCCATTTCACAGTGGGGAAGCCTGAGGCTGGGCGGGTTGCCAGCACCCATCACCTTGAAAGGACCACTCCGTGGGTGCCTGTGATGGGGGCTGCCAAGCCTGCCCCAGCTGGGGGTTACCTGCTGCAGGGTCACGGGGCCGGCCGGGGTGGTGGGAAGAATGGGGTCACAGGCTGCCAAATCCTGCCAGTCGATGGTGGTGAGCGCTGGGGGCAGTGAGAGACAGCGGTGAAGGGCCCGCGCATGGATGGACACAGCCAGGGCGGCGCTGCTAAGTGGGAATAGCGGCCAGGGTGCACCTCGACGGGCACGGCCGGAGGATGCAGGGATGGGGAGCACGGTGGGGGCCGGCGAACACTGGCGGGGGGTCGGGGCTGCCATGGCGGACAGACTCACCGAGGGCGGGTGCGGCGGAGGCCGGCGGGGCGCCGCTGCGGCCAGGGAGGGACGGGGGCGCTCGGTGGCTCGGGGCGGCCCCCACCGCACCCCCGACAGGCCGGGCCGACTTCTTGGCGGGGCGGGCGGGCGGGCCCGTGACCCTGTTGGGGCAGATGCTGCCGAACGCCCGGCGGCGGCCGCCCTGCTCCATCCTGCCGCCGCGACACCGGCTCCAGCCCCGGCACCGGCATCGACGGACGCCGTCCTGCCCGCGCCCCGCTCGGCACCGCCCCACGTGCAGGGGCGCGGGGGGCCGGGCCCATGCTGGAGGCTGCCCGCGCCCGGCTGCCCTCCGCCTGGGCGCGGAAACCTCCCGCCCCTTCCCCGGACCGCGCCGGCGGCTCCCGCGCCCGCGGAGCCCGCGCCCGCGCCCGCGGAGCCGGGGCGGGCGGAGGGGGCTGTCCCGGAGATGATGCCTGCGCCGCTGCCGAGGACACTCCGCCCCGGTCCCGGTGTCATCAGTTCCCCCCCGCCCCGGTTTCTGCCTGGGGCTGGGCGGGTGTTCGTAAGGGCATTTCTGAAGCGGCAGGGCCAGGGGCCATCAGCGGCGGAAGAGTAGAGGGAGGACAGGAAAACCCCAAACCGTCCTGCGGCATCAGGACTTTACTGAGCCCCGCACCGGGGATTGTCCCCACCTGGGGAGTCCCGCACCGCTGTTACGCCGAGCCCGGCTGAAATTACGGACGGGGCTGGAGGAGGCTAAACCCGAGGCTCCCGCGATGGGCGCTCAGGTGTTTCCCCCCCCGCAGCATCTCAGGCGGTGCTGCTCCTGCTGCCCGCGGCTCTGGCGACAGCCGCGCGTGTGTCTGCGCGGCTCCAGCGCCACAGCAATGCAATGGAGAAAGTGCAGCTCTATGATTCTAATGCTCCCCGTGCTACAATGCCAGCGTGTTTGGAGCATGCACGTGGACTACAGACTTGCTGCAAAAACAGTCACCAGTTCCTTTGTTATTTGGCGTTTTGGTTTCTTAGACCCCTGCATCTATTTTATCTTTATTTATTTCCTTTCCCCGAGCCATGACACAACCAGCGAGAATCAGTTTGAAATGGTGAATGTCACCACCGGTTACCACTGTTTTCTGGAGCTGGAGCTAACTGCTGGGCAAAGTCGTTTCGCGCCAGTGCGTGTGCTATCCCAGCAAATAAACGAGAATGGGTCACGAGTAGAAAATAGTTTATTCAGCGTATATTCGGTCCTTCCGCAGTTATCTTTATGGACCATCCTCCAAATAGACAACACAATGTTATCCATGTTACTTACACACTGGGGTTTAAGAAACAGCAAAGGGAAAGTGCAACTGACGGATAGTAACATCATGTGCAAAACGTGATCCGCCTCTCAAACGCTAACGATCAGTTTATCAGACTACACCACCTCTACAAAGCACTAACGGCGAGGCAGCACGGAGCCCGCTCAGCCAAAACCGAGGCGGGCAGTGCAGGCGCCGGAGGTGCCAGTGACGGGCGGTGCGGAGAGTCAGCGGCCGCCCCGCAGCCAGGGGCACTTCTGGACCACCTCCGGGGGCAGGAGGAGCGGCAGGGACTGCCCGTTCAGCGACACCAGGAGCTGAAGCTGCCCCATGCAGTCCCGCAGCAGCTCCTCCGAGTAGCCGCTGACCCGCAGGTCCAGGGGCCGGCGGTGGCCCAGCAGCCGGTCCGCCAGCCCCAGGCTGCCGGCGGCCAGCAGCGATGGGGCGTACCCGATGAAGGCGTAGTCCGCCAGGCTGAGCTCAGAGATGCCGCCCGCCAGGATCCGGGCGTCCGCTGCCTCCGCCGCGTCGGCGCCCTGCGCCTGCAGCCGCACCTGGCTGAAGTGCTCCAGGAAGAAGCTAATGGTCGGCGCCGACAGGTCGAAGCCCAGGCGGAGCAGGACGATGCACTCCAGGTTGCGGAGCTGCTGGACGGTGAAGGCGCCGCAGCACAGGGCGAGAAGCTCCTTTAAGCTTGGGGGGTGCACCTCCACCTGCAAGGGGGAGACAGGAGGAAGGAGCGGGGGAAAGGGATATTGAATCCGGCCCAGGGCTGGCACCGGAGCCGCTTAGGGTGGCTGAGGAGTGTCGCAGAGACTCCGGCGGCGGGGCAGCCCCACCTACCTGCTTGGAGGCGATGAGCAGTGCCGTCACCCCCAGGAGCTGGAAGCAGTCTGCTGCCACGGGAGTGGTGGCGAGGAAGCGGTCGAGGGTGTTGACGGTTAGGCAGAGCGCCTCGAAGGAGAGCCCGAAGTGCCGGTGCACAGGGATGAGCCAGCTCACCAGCTTGCAGCGCGCCTCCGCCGTCACCTGCGGCATCGGGAGCGGGTCAGGCGGGGCCAGTATCGCGCTACGCCCGCCCGCCGCCTCTCATCGTCCCCGCTGCCCCCCACCTGCGGCTGCCGGGCAAGCGGCTCCCGCGGCTGGAAGCGGCTCTCCAGCCCCTTGCGGGAGCGGTACCAGCTCTCCCCGTAGTCGCGGAAAGCCTGCAGCTCCTGCGGGCTCTCCGCCACCGCCGCCGCCGCTGTCCCCGTCCCCAGACGCCGCCGCCGCGCCGGGAGCCGCGGGCAGCGGCAGGGGGAGCCGCGGGGTTCCCGCCGTTGCGGGGTGCAGCCGCGCCGCCCGCTCGCCGCCGTCACCATGGCGGGGCGGCCCGTGCCGGCTGGGCTGCGGGGAGCGCCGGCGGCCGCGGCTATTTGAGCCGAGGGGCCGGGACCGCCCGCCCCCGGGCAGCCCCCCTCCCGCCTGCAGCGGGGCGGCCGCTTGGCACCGCCGGGAGCGACGTCTCCAAAACAGAAGAGGACCGAGTTACCAACCCCGGGCTCTTCAACGCTTCCCGCCCTGCGGGACGGCTGAGGAGGAGCCGCCGCGGGGCTGCGACCTGCGGGGAAGGGCTCCGAGCACGGCGGCTCACTGGAAGGGCATGTAGGGCACTGGGCAAAAGTGCCGCAATACCCGCCTCTGGCGGAGCCTAAACCGAACCCGCTGGAGCTGCTGCATCTTCTCTTTTCATAGAATAGCTTGTGTTGGAAGGAACCATAAAAGCTCGTTTCATTCAAACTCCCCTGCCACGGGCACCTTCCGCTAGAACAGGTTGCTCGAAGGCCCATCCGATCTGGTCTTGAACAGTTCCAGTCTGACCTCAACACTGCAGAGTTCAAATGAGATGAGCTTTATGGTTCCTTTCGACACAAACCAGTCTATGGTTTGGTTATATGAGCCACGGATCAAGTCCGCTATAGATGAGGAAAGACTTACAGAAGGAAACAGAAAATCCCTCCCAGATAGTAACAAGGAAGATGTTAGTGGGAAAAGGAGAGGTTCAAGCAGTCTATTCAACGGTAAGAGAGGAGGGGATGGAAATTCTGCAGAGGACAGCAGGAGCAGTAAATCATCTGCATGGAGAGGGGGCAGAGAGCAGCAGGACATGCTGTCTTTAAAAAGCATACAACCTGCAGACCGCTGTTGCGACTGCGGTAAGAAAGATCAACTGATACTGGTCTTGTGTCTGACAAATGCCTTGAGAAAAATAACAGAGGTGTTAAGAGATTTATTAAATAAAAAAGTTAATCTACCCAACAGAGCACAGGCACAGGAGTTGTTCACACACTGCAGAAGCAGAAAGACAGTCTTTTTCATTTGTGTTTAAGATAACCACACTGCACACCAGCGTGACCCATTTCACCTGGTTTGCAGAAAACTTGATCACTCAGGAGCATGCACTTTCCTAGTTATTATATATATCCCCTTAACAGTAACAGAAAGAAGCAATTTCTTTAAAAGATTACAAAGCAGGGCATGCCAGAGGAAGACACAGAACGTGTCTGAATTTAAACCTTACCATACATAAATAGAATGTAACCTTTCTATGCATCACAGTTAAACAAGGGAAAACTCAAGGAAAATTAACACTTTCACTATGGTTTAGCCATTTAAAACCAACTTAAACGCAGAAGTCAAATCCAGAAGAAACAGGTGCTTGTCAGTTGGTGAATTACTCAAATTTATTTCTAATTCATGTTTCCAAAGGACACAAATAAAAGACCTCAACTAGAACAAAATCCAGAAAATTGTGCAGGGTCTCCAAGGAATGCAGTTTGCAGGTTTTAATTCCTATGCCTCTGACACGAAAGAAGGATGTATCTGGGCATACAGATTGCAAAACCAAGGGCTTAACTTCAGTAATAAACTGTTTCAATGCTTCCTTGCATACATGTTGTATACTTTGGAATTAGAAAACAGCACTTCCTAGCTCTTCTAGGAAACTAGGAGAGCCACTAATTTATCACAATTAATAAAAAGATAACATAACCAATTTTTCAGAGTTCATAGGAAAATACGATTAGGAGAACTTGCCTCTTCCAGAATTGAGTGCAGGGTACTATGCCCAAACTGGTTTACTTTCAGCTTATGTTTCTCTCTCAGCCCAGCAGTACCAGTTCTACTGTCTTACTTCAACTGGATAGCTCATGTATTTTGCATTTTCATGTATTTTCCTCAGTGCCCTTTTTTCACATAATTAACATCCACTTTACAAAATCTGTATTTGTCAGATTACAAAAAACTATCTTCCACACTCTTCCTCTGCCTGTACACACAGAGTTCCTATGTGATTGCAGTTGTTTAATAGCCACTGCCCTTCTCCCCACCTCCTATCCCCAGTATTCCTCATTTTTGAAACCTGAGATGGTTATCTAAAACTTCAGTTCATATGTGTAAATGGTGTGGACAGGTGTAATATAAGCACATCTGGTTCATTAAGTTATCTGGTTAAAAAACATTGACTATGAAAGAAATAACAAACACAAACATTGTGAGCAAGTGGTTAAGAGAGAATGAGAACCAGAATGCTTCAGTCACAGACTGATGATGTGAGAAGAGGCAGAAGATGGGGAGGAGCTGCTGGCAGTACCCCTGTCTAGCTGAGCATTTATTCACAGCAGTCCACATTATCTCCTTAGAGCATCTTCATGTAAACCATACAGAAAAATGTGTAAGATGTATTGCTTTAATGCTGTAAGTTCATCGATTAAAAAAAAAAAATACCACTTAGGAAACCCACATAAGAGAGGTTTGTCTCCCATTTGAACACATCTAACAGAATTCTACTCACTGAGATTCAGGACCCAATCTTTTATCATTACTACAGTCTGCACCACCAGTGATGTTATGATTAGTACATCAAACAAAAAGAATAATTTACCACAGCCATTTTTATATTGGAAAGAAGCTGCTTCCATCATTTGTACTCAGACAAATGGCACCAAATGTATTGAAAAGGCTAAACGTATTAACATTTCATTTTTGAAAGTGACATACAGAAAGGTAAGGTCTATGCAAAATCATGCAGTCTTTTCTCATCATGGCTGGTATCGACCACACTAAGCATTTAAATACTTTCAGCTAATGTTGGAGTCTACATTTTCTCCTGCCATTACTGAAGCTCCATTTTGCTATTGATTTCTGAGTTTCAGTTACCACTCTCCATTTTTATCAGCTCTTTGATGATGTGTAAGACCTTGTCATCTAGGAAGAAAACAAAACAAACTGAATAGGAAAAAACAAGCTTAAAAATTGATTCCTAAAACCCAAGAATATCCTAAGACAAGTATAGTTCTCAGCAACTTAAAATTACTGTTTTAGGTTACGCAAAACTCTAAAGCAAGACAAGTGCTTCCCCTTTATGAAGCAAGAGGGCAAACAAGTACATCCATAGTACATGATTAGAAAGTTTCCAGAATTATTCAATGACCTAGTCATGGCCATTTCGGTATTTCACAACAGACTGAGAAAGTTACAGGTTAACTACAGATACATTAGCGTACAGGAGCTTCCTTTCTTCCTCCTACCTACAATATTCTTCTGAACACCTGGTGTTCAAAGTTCAAATTGTGCCTCTCTATTGCTTGCTTCGGGGCCAATATGCAGTTCCCTATCATTAACCTAAATTGTGAGACAACTTGCATAATGCTTAAAATTCATCAATGCCTGACATTCACCACTATCTTATTTCTATTTTGAGATACATACCTCAACTATTACTACATTACTACTTTAAATGATGTTATCAGGGATACCTTTAAAAAAACCCACCAGTTGTGCAGATCGTATGTCTGGGGTGAGCTACATAGTATATGTAGGATTAGTAGTAACTTTTTGGACGTCTCTCAAGATAATGAAATGATACACAAATCACACTAACCCTTACTGCGTGAGAATGCAGTGTTCTCATGCTTCCCCAAAGTCGCCAGGTCTATTTAACGAATAGTAATTTCAGCAATTCAGAAATAAAGTTACCTTCAAGGGACATTTTAGGATTTTCAAGCTTCTTCTTTAAAACAGACTCAATGAGAACCCTCAGCTGTTTAAAAATTACCGCTATCTTTACAGGAGCCTATAAAGAACAGAAGACAAGCATTCACATTATTCAGACATTTTACACTAAAACATAGATTATGACCTTACCTATAAATAGAATTGTAAGATACCTACAAACATGATGCATACGCAGATTTTTTAAGCATATGGAGAGTGTACTCATGAAATGACTGGGCTTACATTATGCCCTCTTATCTTTAAGCACTTGTTAGTTGTAACATCACAGCCTAAAGAACAGTAGCTCAGAATGGTAACTTGGAATATGTTCCCACATACAAGATGAACAACCAGCATATGGTGAAATTATTAATTACCAGTATCCTACTTACTCTAATTGCCTCCCCCCCCCCCCCCCCGAGTATTAAAGTACAAATTAATTTATACCTGATATGCAATACCTATACATTACCCTCGAGGACATCTGCCTGGCCTCCTGGAATGCCGCAAGCTCCTCCTGAGGAAGCTGTCACAAACCTCTCCTAAATCTCACTAGGAGCTTGGATGGCTACACCTGAACCCTCTCCCAGGAATCTTTCATTTTATCCCTCCTTTGCTATTCCAGTCTGTATTTCATCTATGTAGTGCCTATGGTACAGTAACTAGCTATTACGGATAAAGCACAAAATGCAACATATTCTGCTTCTCAGTAGAAAAATAGAATATTTAGTCAGCCCAGCAACCACACAACCTGTAGCTTCCCAGGGACCATAAAAGTTATCCAACAAACCCACAGGGTAGCTGCTTTTAGAAATTCCATATTCATGATACCCAGTGAATTCAATTAGATGGTCACTTGCCTGCATCAGTAGAGTGCAAAAAACTAAAATATTTTGTAGCTTATGGTCTTCCTCGAGTCTAACAGGGCCCACATGGGCACAGAAAGTTGTGACAAAGTAGCTGGCAGGCCAGCAAAAGTCAGTGTTGGCTATTTAACAATTTACAGAGAATTTGAGCACACCACCAATTCTTTTTTTTTGCTCAAAAATACACTAAGAAAAATGCAGTTTTCCCATTCACAAATAAAATTTTTTCACCTGGAAGAAAAAAACCCAAACAGAATCGGCAAACAGCCCAAACCCATGCAAATGGGTATTTTCTCCATTTGGATATTTTTCTTTACCAAATAATTCTGTTTGGGCTAAATAATTAGTATTTTAAAGATAACTATGTACTTACATGATTATAACACTGTAGAAAAGGGTATATAAAATAGCACACTTATGTTTTCAGTATCAGCTCTACAGAACATAGATATAATAGTCTA